TACTAGCAGTGATACAGGCAAGTAAATAAGCAATTCATTTAGTTCATACTTTTGCATTTTAAATTATTTAATATTTTATGCAAAATGCATTGCCTTAACAATTTAAGTATGCAATAGTTATAGGTTAAAGCAATAAAGCATGTAATATAAACTAATTTAAGAAAAAAATGAAAATTAGTTTATTCATGTTTTCAATATTTTCTATACTTAGTTGCTTTGGAAAATATATTAATCACAAAATTGTATACAAAATAATATTTATATTTTATAGTTTCCTTATTAAGGTTAGTTGTAGTTATTGTTTGTTGAATGCTTTTATGCTTTTGCTTTGATTAATGATTGCTTTAAATAGATATTGATAAAGGCAATGGTGGAATAACTATAAGTTGTGAATCAAATGATGTCAATGATGATATTCTTATGGAAAATCAAATACAGGTTAAAAACATAGTTCAGTCACAGGTTAGTTACCTACAATGTATGATGTAGATTAATTATAATTTAAAAGTTGTTATATTTACATACAATTTATATTTTAAATAGTTAAATTTTAGTAATATTGTTTTAATTCTACAGGAATGTTTAAATTATGTCAATCATATGAATGTTTTTGATCAGTCACCTTCATTACAAAGTATTGCTACAACTGCAACGTCTACTGATACTAGTGAGTAATAATTTTAAAAATGTATCTTTTGAATTTTTTTTATCATTGTGCTTCACATAAACTTAACCTTGTCATAAATGATCAAAATGCTATCCCAGACATTAGAAACACTTCTAGTACTATTAAGGATATCATACGATTTTTTAGAGAAAGTATTCTACGTCAAAAATTAATTCCAAATGTCCCTTTATTTTGTGAAACTCGCTGGTCAGAAAAATACAAATCAGTCAGACTATTTAGTAAGTATTTTGAGGAGATAAAGACAGTTTTGGATTCATTGGCACTTGACCAAAATGTAAATACAGCCACAAGAAATCGAGCTTTTCAGCTATCATGTGCCACATCAAATATAGGATTTTTAGTCAGCTTAGAATTAATTTCATTTTATTCTGCTATTATGGAACCAGTTGTAACCAAATTACAGGCTGTATCTGTTAATTTACACAAGGTACATTCATATGATAAAAATGATCTCATTAATGTATTAAAAAATCATAGGGATTCTAGTAGTAACAATTTTCAACAAATATATAACAATATAAAAAATGTTGCAGACAAGTTTAATATTGATATTAATATACCAAGAAGAGCTAATCGTCAAACTCATCGAGCTAATTACAGTGAATGTACTCCATATGACTACTACAGAGTATCTTTATATATCCCATACTTGGACTCAATCATAAATTCATTAGAAGCACGTTTCAGTGAACATAATGAAACGCCATTCAAGTTGGGTGCATTTATTCCATCTGAAATGATCCAAATTGACAAAAAAACATTTAATCTTATACTTGAAGAAGTTCAAAATTATTTTCAAATTGAAAATTTAATACCTTGCGGATCAGCTTGGTACAGTTATTGGGAAAATAAATCAAATAAAATAAATTCAAAAGAGCTGGAAAATATTAATATTTCTCATCTTCTAAAAAACGAATGTGATTTTTTCCCAGAAGTAAAAAAATGTCTTATCATCTTTTTAACAATTCCGCCTACAACATGCACGGTTGAGAGGTCATTCAGCACATTAAGACGTGTAAAAAATTGGACAAGAAACACTATGGGAGAAAATAGGTTGGATGGACTGTGTATGCTCAGTGTTCATAGACATAAAGTTCATCACGACATTAAATTTGTTGAAAAAGTTATTGAACAATTTGGTTTGAAAAAACGCAATTTACAGTTTATGTTTTAAAATGTTATTTTTATTCAAATATAGTAAACGTATATTTGTTTCATTATTTAATAAAATAAATTTGTTTGATTTTTAATTTTTTGGTTGTTTATTTTATGATTGTCACCCCCCTAGGTTTTGACAGATGGGCGCCCTTGCCTATACATAACCTATACATTTTTTGATACGAAAAAAAAATATTCATCTTTATAATACCTACCAATTTTATATCATTAATCCATTTTTAATAAAAATTAGTTGTTTGTTAATCAATTAACTATTTAGGCTTCAAAATTAAACTTATTTAAAAATTCTAAAACTATGTGACCACTACATTAATCAAATTATTATATAGGTACTATTTTGTAGGACACATTGGTACACATCTTTGTATATTGCACAAATAGGTAAAAGTTGTAAAAGTGGTTATAATATATTTGTGCACATGGGCATAAATTAACTATAATAATGATGCAAATACTTAATTATTCCAACTTTACATTAAATATTTGAAGAAAAACTCATTCATTTCTAGTTTTAAATGCCTTATACGAGTTTTTAGGTCTACTGTAAAATGACACGGATTCTTTTGCACAAACACTGTCCAATTGTATTTGTGTTGAAGAAAGAAATTGTCTACAACAATCATTCGCTAAATAAAGTTGTAATTTTTTTTATATATGTAATATGGTAAATAAATAATAAAAATAAATTATAAAATATAAATTATATTCATATAAACATTGATTTTTTTGTCATTTATAAATTGGGAGCCGTCAACATTTTGTGAAAACTTAAAGGAGCCGTGAGATGAAAAAGTTTGAATGCCTCTGAGCTAAGTGACAATTATTTGTTTTTAAACATATTTTTATGATACTTTTTAATAATAACTCAACTACTTTTGTAATAATATTATTTTATTTAGTTACAATAAAATAAATATTAACAAACTATAAAAAATGATAGTATTTTAGTTGTTTCATAAGTACCAATTTATTTCCACATTGAACTATGCAAATGATGTTTGTTATAACTAGTGTGCGGATTTGTATGTATTCAAAATTCAAAAATATGTACATATATATGTATTTAATTTTATCCAAATATGTAACTAAAAATACAAGATATGTAAAAAAAAAAAAATGTTTTTATTCTTGAAAAAAAAATTTATAAAATTAGTATACTAAATAAGTAGGTAAATATAAATTATACAACACTAAATTTTATTGCTATTTCATTAACATTAATTATTAGGAATACATTCAAATTAATAAGTATTTATTCATTGGAGTTAGGATGCTGAAACAACATCTATTTCAATTTTGGAAATCATATTTTCAATGAAACTTAAATTGTTGCAACAATTTACAGCAGCATGTAACCAAGTACCCCGCGAGTTATTGTTATCATAATGTTATCATCACTTATCACTCTATCTCACTTCACTGTTGTTGCTATGTTACTGTACCATACTATTATGTTTTTATAAGTATAAAATGTGTTCTTGAATTTTGTTAATTTTAATTTATTATGTTGTGCTTAATTATGAAATATATATATTACTTCGTTATATCCAATTGTGTATAGTTTCACCACATTAACAGGTTATGGGCCCAGAACTCAGAATTACTACTGAAAAGGAAGTCACATGGATTGAAGTGGATAAAAAAAAAAAAAAGAAGTGTTTATAAATAATTAGTGAGTTATTAGAGGTACTTGGCAAATATAATAAATACTGGTGGTAATGGCTAACTCGAAAGAAGATAGATATGGCATCACCCAATTCAACGGTCTTGATTTCGATAATTGGAAGTTCAGAATAGAGACGTTGCTAGAGGAACATGGTGTGCTGGAATGTTTGTATAAAGATTCTTCTTTCGAGACAGATTTGGTAATTAAAAAGGAGTATTTGAAAAATGACGCAAAAGCAAAATCATTATTAATTCAATGTGTAGCAAATTCTCATTTGGAATATGTCAGAGAGGGTACAACGGCCAAACAAAAATGGGACAAACTTATAGCCACGTTTGAACGAAAGGGTGTGTCTAGTCGTTTGTATTTGCTAAAACGGTTATTGACAATAAAGTATAATGAAGAGGAACCAATTGAAAATTACTTAATCAGATTTGATGATTTAGTTCGTCAATTAAAATCGGCAGGAGGGAAAATTGAAGAAGATTTTTTAGCTTGTTTACTTCTTTTGTCTCTGCCTGAATCTTATGGCATAGTGGTGACTGCAATTGAGACATTATCTAACAATAGCATCACTGTTGATTTTGTAAAAGGCAGACTTATGGATGAATATCTAAAGCGTATGAACTCTGACCATGTTAAAAGTGCAGTAGACAGTAGTTCAGCCTTCAGTTCGATGATAAAATGCCACGAATGCAATGAGCCTGGACATAAACGCTATCAATGTCCCAAAAGAAAAGCTTATCTAAAGAAAAAAAAAAATGGCACAAAGGATACAAAGGACAAGCTAATTTGATGGAGGAGAGCACTGATGAAGATGGAGTTGCGTTTATGTGTAACATTGCTCATAGTGTTCAATCAGTTAGTGATCCTGATAATATAACCTTCTATCTTGATTCAGGTGCGTCTGATCACTTAATTAGTGATAAATCATGTTTATTAAATGTCAAAATTTTACAAGAACCAATCAAAATCGGAGTAGCTAAAGCTGGTGAAGAACTAGTTGGAAAAATAGTTGGAGATGTACGTGCGATAAGTGTATTTAATGGTCAAGTAAGCAACTGCACTATTAAAAACGTAATCTACGTACCTGATTTAAGAGCTAATTTACTGTCTGTTGGAAGAATAGAAAAAAATGGTTTAAAAGTAGTTTTTGAAGCCGGTATGGTGAGAATTTTTCTAGGATCGAAAGTAATAGCCATCGGTGTTCGAGAAGGTAGTTTATACAAAATAAAATTAAAATTAGCTTCCTCCAAAATTACTCAAGCTAATATGACATGTACATGGGAAACTATCAATTTATGGCACAGGCGGTTGGGTCATCTCAATGAACAATATATCGTCGGTGATACTGCAACAAGACGTATCTCAAAATTTGACAAAATGAGATTATTGTTGATATTGGTAGATAAACACCGTCCGGAACTATTTTAATTAGGACTTTTTTTGCTTAGACAACTGGTTAGACTGTAAATAACAAAAATGATAACACAACGTATATCAAACGTTGGTCATAACACAGCGTATCTCATTAAAATCACATTGAAAATTGCTGTTCCTGCCAGGAGTCTTAATAAAGTAAGTTTATTTTTTGATTTTTCTTAGATATTGCTATGAAATGGCATATTTTATATATTTGGATATTATATTATAATAATACAGAACGAATTTATGCTAAAACATAATATATAATATACATAATTATGTTAAGTAGTATGACTCTTTAAAATACTATTTTTTCACTTGAGATAGGCAGTGTTCATAAAACCATTTTATTGATATAGGTGTTGTTATTTCTTATGTTTATATTTTTGTTGAATTCAAAGTTAGATTGTTTTACACTACAAAATGAAATTAATAATGTTGTATATTTGTATTCTTTTAAATCTACTTATTGTCTGTACCTATTACTTATACAATTATCTTTTCTTTTTACTTTTTAGGTAAAACTGGGTAATTCTGCCCCTAATATAATATTTTATTATATCATTATAATAATGGAATCAGATACAGCTGATAGTGATTCAGATGTTAGTAACTACTCCTATTCAGTCGATGAATTATATGAAGCTGTAGAAAATAGTTCAAAATTAGTAACTAGGCAAACTACAGTTAAAAAAACAATATCTAACACAACATCCTTAAATTTAAATGAAACAAATGAATTAGACTGTTATGTGCTCAATGACTGTAATTCCGAAATTAATATTAATAATATTGAAACATTTGAATTTAATGAAACTATGTTAAATAATGATAATATGAAAATAATTCCCAATTATGAAAATGAAATAGAAAGTGTAACAAATCATAATATTATTGCTGATATTATACAAGATGATGACACCAATAAGTTTTCTTTAGAGCATAATAATAATATTATACAAAATAATAAGGATATTAACGTAAGTGTTGAAGAAAATGATACCATTTCCCAAAGCATTGGAAGAAAACGTAGTAAAAAAGCTAATTCAGATGCCTGGTCTAGAAATGATGCAAAAATTAAAAGAATGCGAGGAGAAGCCTATTTAGGATATAGAAGGAAAGAAAAACAAAGCACCTTAAATATATTGCATGACACACCGAGAGAAGAAAGACAAATGGGCCCACCATGTCAATCAAAAATATGTAAGCAATGGAAAACAAGATTTATTTTACATTTTTATGCTTAGGTAACAACAAAGTTATGTTGATTTTTATTATAATTTATGAAAAATACAACAAGTTATGTTAATTATTTTTAATTTCTAATTTTTATGTTATATTCATGTTAAATTGTTAAACAAAACAACAAAGTATATTGATTTTTATTATAATTTATGGAAAAGACTACTAGTTATGTTAATTATTTTTAATTTCTTACATTTTTATACTTAACAGCAAAGTTTGTTGTTTAACTATTATGTTTATTCTTTTTTTAGTTATTAAAATAAAAGTATTTGAGTTCTTTAAAATATGTTGTTATATTATTTTTTCTATAGTTAAATTATTTAAATCATTCTTTATAATTCATAATGTGTGGTAAGGAGAGAATATACATAATAAATACAGTAATAATTAAAAATATTATCTCGCCATGAATATAAATAATAGTGGACAAATAAAAACAATAATAAATTATTAAGTTAATATTAACACAGCCTATCTCAATATGATTATCCCCTAACTAAACGTATCTCATGTAAAACTTTATATTTACACACAAATTGAATTATTTCATTAAAATAATTAATTTTGTATACCAAAGGTTTGAACAAACCTTCAAAATATTTCATTTTGGCAAGAAAAATCATTTAAAACACGTTTTATGGCTCTACTGTAAAATCATGAAAACTGAGATACGTCCTGTTGCAGTATCAGCGACGATATGCAACAGTTGAAAACAATGTCAGATAACCTGAAAATAAGTAAGGCTGATAATTTTCAATGTGAAACATGCATTATGGCCAAACATGAAAAAAAACCATTCAAGGGCCATAGAACAAGAGCAACCAAACCTCTACAGATTATACATACGGATGTGTGCGGTCCAATAACACCGAAAACATGGGATAATAAGAGGTATATATTAACCTTCTTGGATGATTTTACACATTTCACGGTAGTATACCTATTAGAAACAAAAGCAGAAGTGTATAACTTCTTTCAGTCATATGAAGCTATGGTAACATCAAAATTTTCGCATAAAATTATGAAGTTAAGGTGTGATAATGGAGGAGAGTATAGTTCAAATTTAATAAAAAAAATTCTGTGAAGAAAAAGGAATATTATTAGAGTATACAGCAGCATATACCCCTCAAATGAATGGTCATGCTGAACGATTAAATCGTTCATTAATTGAAAAAGCAAGAGCAATGATTATTGACAGCTCTATACCAAAATGTTTTTGGGGAGAGGCAGTGAGAACAGCTGCATACCTACTAAATAGATCACCTACAACTGCACTAGAAAACAAAACTCCGTATGAAATGTGGAATGATAAGAAACCAGACTTAAATAATCTTAGGATATTTGGCAGTACAGCATTTCTTCGCAAATCAAAAGTAAGTGATAAGTTTGATGGTAAATCACTGAAGTGTCGTATGGTTGGATATGGCTTACAGAATACATACAGATTGTGGAACGATGACTTAAAATGTATTAAAATTGGTCGTGATGTCATATTTGATGAACAAGACATGTTCAAAACACAAAAGAGTAATAATGACAATATAGTTTATATTCCAGCTCCAGTACAAGAAGATAAACCGATAGAAACTGTTGACTCCGAAAAGGATTCTATAGATGATCTCTGGGAACAAGAAAAGGATAAAACCAATCGTGAAGGAAAATCAGAATCAACCTCAAGCAGTCTACCCAAACGTCAATCACGACCACCAGCCTGGCATGCTGACTATGATACTACTTATTTAGCTTGGGCCCTATCAGCTGAATCATTTGTAAGTGACGTTCCTTTAACGTACAGTGATGTCATGAACAATGAATATAGAAATCAGTGGGAGCAAGCAATGAAGGAAGAGATGGATGCAATGGTTGAGAACAAAACTTGGACTCTAGTGGATAGACCAGAAGGAAGAAAAATAATTAATTGTCGTTGGGTTTATAAAGTCAAGTTTGAAAATAAAAAAAACATTTGTTATAAAGCTAGATTGGTGGCGAAAGGGTGTGCTCAAAAATTTGGTTTTGACTACACTGAAACATATGCTCCAGTTGCAAATATGGTTACAATAAGAACACTATTATCTATAGTTAATCAAAAAAATCTTTTTCTCATTCAGATGGATGTTAAAACTGCTTTCCTTAATGGAGTGCTTAATGAAGAAGTATTTATGGAACAACCTGAAGGATATATACAAGATAAGTCCAAAGTTTGCAGACTAAATAAGTCAATATATGGTCTCAAACAAGCACCAAGGTGTTGGAACCGTCGATTCCATGAATTCATAACTGGTCAAGGGTACCAACAAAGTGAATCAGATAACTGTTTGTACATCAGATCAAATGATTTGTCAGTGTCATACTTATTACTTTATGTCGATGATATTCTACTTGCAGGAAATGCAGAAAAGGAAATAAGTGATATAAAACATGCACTGTGTCAGGAATTTAGAATGAAACAGGACAATACAGGAATGTTCCTAGGAATGAAAATAAGATGGGACAAAAATAACGGTGTGCTTCAACTAGATCAAAGAAACTATATTGATCTTCTACTAAACAAATTTGGTCTGGGTGAGTGTAAGCCAGTAAAAACCCCAATTGAAGAAAATGTCAAGATTATAATTCCAACAAACACAGAGAAAACTAGTAAACCTTATCGAGAGGCAGTTGGATGTCTCATGTATCTTATGATACATACCAGACTAGGTTTTAAAATAAGACTACTATATGGATTATTTAATTATAATATACTATTTGAAACTAATATTTGTATAATTAAGTGAGAGTGTTATCATAATGTTATCATCACTTATCACTCTATCTCACTTCACTGTTGTTGCTATGTTACTGTACCATACTATTATGTTTTTATAAGTATAAAATGTGTTCTTGAATTTTGTTAATTTTAATTTATTATGTTGTGCTTAATTATGAAATATATATATTACTTCGTTATATCCAATTGTGTATAGTTTCACCACATTAACAGTTATCACTGGCTCCGGGGGAAGAGGTGTTTGTAGGGGGTAATTTTCATTAAATAAATTTAAATTACAGGGTGCTTTAAGGAAAATTTTTTTAGTTGATATCAAAAAATCAACTTCGGAAAATTCTGATCTAATTTAACATGGAGAAGATAACACATAATATAAAACGGTGATACATTATTAATATTGTAAATAGCTCAATATTTAACAAAAATATGTAACACGAGTAAAATATGTAAAAATATGTAATTAAGATTAAATATGTGAAAATATGTAATATCAAACAAAGCTTAAAATAATCAGAAAATCCTGTAACGAATTTCTATAAAGGAATCATTTGAATATTATCATGCGCGACAAATATGTAAATAAATACAAATCCGCACCCTAGTTATAACAAAATAATCGTTAAAATTAAAAAAATGTTGTGTTTTTTTTATACCAAAAGAATCGTCATGTTTTTCTCTACGCCATGGTACTGTTTAAAAATGCATTATCATGACGCCACAAAAACTATAAGTATTTGTTCAAATTTGAATTTATGGTCACCGGCGGGTCATGTGGTGTGGTACTAATGATTAACTATGGGCGCAGGGGGGCATTAAAGTATAGAATTTGAATGTTTCAGTATGACCGCTGGTGGGCATATGGCGGTTAACGTGTTAAATTATCAATCCAAGCAATACCACCTAGCCAGATTAAAATATTATCAAACTACAATAGCTATAATAATCTCACCAAAATTATTAAAAGGCATTAATAAATTATATAGTTTACCTGAATAGTGAAACTTTTTTTATCCTAATAAAAAGTTTGAGCACACGACTGGTTTTAAGATGTTAATCATTGAAAGGTGTCAAATCGAATGCTCTTGCTACAGCTAAAGATATCATACCTAAAAAAGAAAAATATAAGCCTGAGACATTGCAAATAATCACAAAGAAGGCAGAAAGAAATTGAAACATTAACAACAGTTCGCACAACCAATATTGCCACAGACCACTGTAGAAGAGTTCTAACAGCATTCAAAATAATAGTATGATGTCATAAGTAAGCAAATGTTTTGTCTTAGATAAAAAAAATACTCCATGACCATTTCTTCTCCCTCAAATATTAAAATAATAATGATATCCTGATATTTTAAATAGCAATATTTATTTTTCATTTTAATTCACTTTTTAAAAAACGTGAAATGTCAGTACAATTTATAATAATAAACATAATAAAATATTATAAAATATATTACCGACAATAAAAAAAAGAATCACTTGTTCTTTTTCAAAAATATAAAATTTCAGTATGATTGTTAAATTTATATTAATTGCCCACAGTATAATTTTCGTTTGTCAAATTTAATTTTTAAATAATTCTGTATTAAAATTTAATACATTTGAAAACAAACATAATAATCGTTTGAAAACAAACATAATAATCGTTTGAACGTTTTGACCTGAAATTTAAAGAGGTCCTTTTACACTTGTATGTTTTTTTGTAATGCAGGTACAGAATATTATTCTAGGGCTGATTCTAGGTTTGAGATACAAATTTTTAATTTTATATAATCAAAAAATTGTTGGTTGGTCTATGTTGTACATGGATAACATTCAAAAGTATTTCTTAAAAAAATTATTTTTAAAAACAATTATACGAACATCTTAATTGTTGGATATTTATTTTAACCAAAGGTCTTCTTAGCGACAGATGATATTAATTGACTATTATTTATTTGTCAGACCATTGTTATTTGTTTTAGTGGAAAAATGACAGTTGGAAACTTAATAACATAACAGTTAGCTATTAAGACTGAACCATAAAATGTTAAACCTTCTATTTATATTGTAAAATAAACAAATTATGTACCCACCTTACCTGGGTACAGCATACAACTACACAGTAATAGTTTTTCTGTATTAGTGTACCTATGTCAGTAATCTACGGAGAGTTAAACCATAAAAAAAAAATTAAAATAAACCAGTGCACAACAATTCCTGATACTATAAACAAACAAAATGTGAAATTAGTAACTGAAGGGTATATGTTCACAAAGTTGTGTAATGGATCACTTAACTGCAGTAATCACTGCTGTTTTAAAATTTGAAGTTCACAATCATGAAGATAATATTGACCTAATAAATGCAAAAAATTCTAATTGTTATGAAAAACACAGTAATCTAAACTATCTCAAACTTTTGCACTTAATGTAATTCCATCATCCGAAGAAAGCAAACAATAAATTCCAAGAGTAGATTTGATAAAGTCATTAATGGCGTGCCCGTAGCAATATTTATCATACAATTTCATAAATAGATCATATTATAATATAAAAGAGAACACAGTGGAGTACCTACAACTGGTAGAGAATTAAATCAGAGCCATTTTTATTTTATGACAACAAAAATAGTAATAATTTTAGTTACTATATTTTTTTTTTCAAAAACGTGAATCAATGTTTTATATGAACTCAAAAAAGTACAAAATACAAAAAAAGGTTACCTTCAATTTACTATTGAATATTAAGCTACAGTAGGTACCTAACCAGAATTATTAAAAAAACTATTTGGTTAAACTGCAGAGTAAAAAAATCGCTGTGGCTAGAGTCACGGACACCGTGAATATAATGCGTTTGAATAATCCAATTGAAGTACTATTATGTAAAACTTGCATGTGTTCATGGCGGATCTTATAGGAAAAAAAATTCTTGCCAAGATCTGCGTAGTACTTCGTAAGTTAATTTTTTTCTCATTTATCAAAATGTACTCTTTTGAATTTTATGAATTTATATGAATTGTATAGATCAATGCGACAGGGTTGTGAAGCGTATATTTATTTAATTGCCAATGCAAAAGGGGATGCGTTGGAATTAACTCGTATGAATGACGAACATAATCACGAGAAGTCGGAGACATTATTTTCTCATCTCCCAAATCAGCGAAGAGTCACCCCTCAAGAGAAAATGGAAGTGTTGGAATTAATGAAGTTGAAGGCCAATAAGAAGTTAATTCAGCACAAAATGCAAACGAAGACCGGTAAAGTCATAAATCTCAAAGATATTGCCAATATATATACCACAGGTAGTACGTATGAATTTTAGCCAGTTAGAAGTTGTAATGCAATAATTCTTATTATTTTGCAGGAAAAACACCAAGCCACAACAGTTTGAGTGAAATTGTCGAGCAGTTGCAAAATACGTATAATTGTACTGTTGAAATATCAGCTGATAGCGATCAAAATTTGATTGGTCTGTTTATCCAGGACAAAATAATGCAGAATACATTTAAAGCATTTCCTGAGGTAGGAAATATAGAGGTTTATTGGAAATTAGATGTGTATTTTTAGATTTATAATACAATGTCAATAATATATAAACTAAAATACTACTATAAATGTGGAATACTAATTTGTGAATTATTTCAATTATATAATATAATAATTTGGTAATAAAGTATAAATTTGTTAAGTATGGTAAGGTATATTGTGAATTATATGTGAACTATTATATGAATTTAAATGTAATTAAAATTGATGTACAATCTTTAATAAATGTTTTATTCTGAATAAATGTTGTATTATTCTTGAAATTATCATTATAGGTAGTATTTGCAGATGCAACGTATAAATTAAATAATTTACGAATTCCATTGTATGTAATGATGGTGGAAGATGGCAATGGACAAAGCGAAGTAGAAGCTCTAGGGCTCATGACAAATGAAGAAAAAGAGACGTTACGCTGGTTTTTTGAGACGTTTAAAAGGTTGAATGACAGAAGTACCGATACTAGACTATATATGACTGACAAAGATATGGCTGAAAGGAAAGTCATAAGAGAAATATTTCCAAATGTAAATTTGGCTATATGTCTGTTCCATGTATTACGAACATTCAATCGGGAAATAACATGCGAAAAACAAAACATAAACTCTGTTCAAAGAGATCAATTAAAAAAAAATTTTGAAGATATGTGTTACGCCAAATCCATAGATGAATACAACGCATTATTTGAGCGCTTAAAATCTGAAGCACCAGCAACTGTACTTGATTATTTTTTAAAGAATTGGCACAATATAAAAAATGAATGGGTTACAGGGTTGACATTTAATAGTGGACATTTTTTAAACAATACCAACAACCGTTTGGAATCGTTTAACGGAAAATTAAAAAGTGTTATACCAACGTTTTCTAATCTCAATAATTATATTGAAAAATTATTCATTGTGTTAAAATGCCTAAGATTAGAACGAGACACAAAAGCCGTAAAAATGGTCCAAAAACTACCAACAACAAGAATTAAAAATACAGATCTCCTTCAATATTTTTCCTTATTAACAACTTATGCCTTCGCTTTTGTTAAAAATCAGTTTGAACTTAAATCGAAATCATTACCTTCCACTACTGTTAATGTTTGTGGGTGTCAATTTAATGTAGCTCTGACTTTGCCATGCCGCCATATTTTTTATTTAAGAAGTACCAAAAATATAACTTTATACCAGGAAGATTTGTGTGCAATTCGATGGACAAAAAAATATTATCAGCAACACCAAAGAGTATTTCAAACACCTCCTGCTTTTCCAGAAATACCTGGAAATGAAGTTAATGTAAAAACTGTGACCAAAAACACAAAGAAATTGTCATCAAATGACAAATTTAGGCATACATCGACCATAGGTAGTAAAATAGCCAGTTTACTTTCAACCTTACCTTCTCCTCATTATGAAAGGAAAATTGAGCAACTTCATTATATATATAATTCATGGAAAGAAGGAAAGGAATTGTTTATAGAAGCTACTGATGGTCCAGGCAGCTCTCTGGTTTTACCATCAACCAAAGATGATGGTCCACCTATAAATGAAGGTGCATCAACAAGTTGCTCAAATCCTAACGGTATATACAAATGTTTAAATATAATAAATGAACTTCTAATCTGTAAGCTTACTTTTTTAATTATGTTTATCTAATAGGATTACAAGACATAAAATTGCCTTGTAAAATAAAGATGTGTGGTCGTCCTAAAGGAGCAACGATGACTACCATTGGTCTGAAAAAAAGGAAGAAAGAGTGTCCAATTCCATTCCGTATGCAACATGATTCCAAAAAGCAGGAAATTATGTTAAAATGGGTCATAACTGATACCGAAGTAGTTATGAGAGCATTACATCACAATGTTTTAATACATGAGAGCGAAATCCGAGAGCTAGAACAAATTCAAAGTTCTATTTTAGAGGAAGATGTGAAATTAAGTTTAATTCAAAAATTTTTTTCACATAAAGGATGGAAGTTCTTGGAAAAAACTTTGAAGAAACGAAAAGATGTATGGATATGTCCGAAATGTAATATAGATATTGGTTCCGACAACTCCATTTTGTGTGATAGTTGCTTACTTTGGTATCACACAAAATGTGAGAAAAAACTTACATCCAAAGAAAAAAATAGTGCTTGGTTTTGTTCAAAGTGTATAAATGTATGTAATAAATAAACGCTGTGGCTAGAGTCACGGACACAGTGAATATAATGCGTTCACGGACATTCGAAACAAAATATAGTATTTGCGCATGCGCGCATCGAATGTCCGTGAACGCATTATATTCACGGTGTCCGTGACTCTAGCCACAGCGTAAAAAAATATATTATATAAGGAGATGTTAAGGACTTATACTTTGTGTTTTGTTTTATGAGGTATATTCTGTTAAACATAAAATCATAACCCAGTGGCCGAGTAGTGCTCAAGGGTGTGGCTTTATTCTATAGCATTGGTCTCGCTTGTTGCTTAGTTGGGGAAGTGTCTAACAGGCGCCTAACCACCGCCTGACAAAAACTGGTCACACCGGGCAAGTAATGATCTTATTTTAAACAGTGTAAGCAAAGGTAAATGTATTTATTTTGTCCCTATTACCTAAATGAACTATATCACTTTATAGTTTACTAAAACCTAAAATATTGTATTAATATAAATTTTACTGACATTTTGTATTTTATAAAAAGAATTGAAAATTTAAACTAAAATAATATTAATTAATAGCGATTTAAAATACCGGCATTATGTTATACATACTCGGAGTTCCAAAGTAATACACAGGTTTCACATGCTTGCAGCTGAAGTAAAAATAAGCAGCAACCAGTAAGAAAGTAATAGATCCAGATACTCTGCACGACGAACAGCTGTTGTTCTTTCCCTGGATGTGATCAGTGTCCACTGGAGCGGCTTTCATGGCGAGACTGGAGTACTGCAATCGACGATAAAGAATCAACAATTTCTCGTCGTCGAAATGAGACCTAACCTAGCATAAACGACAAATCAAATAAACAAGAGGCACGCAAACATGTGTTTTTGCAATACGCGAAATCGACATAAGCGTCGACGGACGATGAGAACAGTACACTAAACTATAGCACATTATATTATAACACGTTGTATTGATACTGTAATAAATACCTATATATGTTATGTCGGCCGATGGCGCACCGAACGGAAAACAATCACCGGTGGTTTAGAGATGATGAGACGAACGTAGTGCACAGTACAGGCGAGCAAGAGGTGAAGTTTAGAAATAAATGGCCGACAGTACACCAGTGCAATTCGACGCTACACGGTACCGGGTACACAATTAATCGGCGTCAGTCGGCGTTCAGTTCCATATGTTGTGTGGAGGGGAGCCTGCCGTGTCAGTGGTGATTACTGAGTGTTGTGGCGTCGCCGTTCACGCGGTTAAATTTTCAGTGGTTCTCATTTTGCTGATCGCACGAAACGAACCGACCGCGTCCTCTCCATCCTTGAGACACAATACTAGGCACTGATAGTTTATGTCTAAAGAACATTGTCACAACGACGGCTCAACCAACGTGGTTTGTGTTACCTGATAGAAAAATTTGGACGACTAGCAACAACTGTTGACAGACTCAACGAAGATCTACCGAGGCAGCCTCCTGCTGGCGAAAAACTGAGAGAACGAGTGGTAGGGCGTTCGTCACGACGCGGAGCCTCTGACCGGCATCGGAAGACCAATGTGACCAACCATGACTTCACTGCCTACCGACTCCGAGCAAAATTATGTGGTTATCACGATTAGAGATAACAATTATATGATCGAGTCGCGGCGGTGATGGCCCGCTACATGATAATAATAATAATAATTTAATAACTGATGCATGTAGAATGTAGATAAATAAAATATAAATGATTCACATTGACATTGGTGCTTGACCCGGCTTGGGCACACTAAAACATTATGCGATTGTGTGATATTCATCTCGGCTCGAGTGGCAAAGAACAAAATTTTATTTTTCGTGCGATGTATACGGTGTGTGTCATGTCCGAGGTCGGCAAAAGTTATGCTGGAGTCAACCAAAAATACAAGTGACAAAGACACTGAAAAAACATCTCTCGAACGACGAATAATGATAAATCCCGAGTTAGAAACCCACTGCCAATATTATAAGACAGTTATGTAAGAAAAACAAACAGTTGATGCCACAGAAAAATTAATAATATTTACATAAAAATGCAATACTAACAATTATGTATTAGGTTTAATTTATGTGGTTGACGTCCGTGATACAGCGAAATAAGCTACTGATGAGTAAGTTGAATTTCGATGCACTTTGCATTGTTTTCCAAATCTAGCTACGGTATTCTAGTAGTATAACATAGGTACGAGTTTTATATAATGTTTGTGAATCAAAATAAGAAATAATAGCAATTTTATGCATTTTTAGATTCTGAGCTGAGCGATGAATGTATTGATTTTACAATGATATTGTACTATTAGAACCTTAGTGTAGCAACTCAAAAAAAAACTTAATTCTGAGATAATTGAGTTTTGTGATTTTCCAAAATATTAAATTCTCAATTACACAAAAAATAATGAACATAACCTTTTGAATATTCTAAGCGTTACCTATTATTTATTAATATTACTAACTAATTAATAGGTAAAAATTCAAACAATATTTTTTTCAATAATAAATTATTTATTTATTGATAATTTTTTTAGTTAATACACAAGTGAAATACTTTTTTTCAAATATGCAGTATGATAGTAAATCACATTTTTAGTTAAACAATACAATATTATACTCTTCGTTAAATATTTTTAAATTGTATTGTGTATTATTAAAGAAAAGAATCATTTCTCTGGTATAAGTAGTAGATACAATGTTGATGAATTCTTGACATTTTTTTATAATAGAATTAGTCAACAACAAATAAAATTAAAATTAAAATAAATCATTTAGCACTCATTAGTCCATTAGTACTTTTAATGAATAGTTTAATATTATTTGAATATTTATCACAAATTTTGTTTAAAATAGTATAGTAATAATAAATGAAGTACCACAAATTTAGTTATTAAGTAAGAGGATTGTATAAAATCATGAAATTAATGTTTAAAGACTTGACATTTTTTACTGTAAAAATAGTCGACAACAAATAAAATTTAAATTTAAAATAAATCATTTAGCTTTTACCCGGTCCATCGGAACTTTTAATGACTAGTACAATTTAAATATTTACTTTAGGAGATGTAAAGTTTTAAGTCAAGGAGATGAATGTTTTGAGATGTAAGGTTTTCATACATTTGGTAAATTTTGATACTTATCTTGTCCATGAGGAAAACCTCAAGAAACTCTTTCGATTTATAACTTTTTAAATAGTATATTGTTACATTTTGACAAAA